AAATATTCTTATCTTGGACGATTAGGTTAGAAATATTGTATGATTTTTATAATAAAATATTTTGTTTTTTTAAGAAAGTAATAATATAACAACAGATGGATTTTATGATATGGGACCTGTTCCAGAAGGTGGAAAATTTTTAACAATTGAAGAACTTGCTGCACAAGAAGTGAATGATCGTCGACCAATATTAATTGTTTATGCACCAGAAAAAAAGTAAGAGAAAATAAATGGTTATATTTATTTGCTCAATATTACACGCACACCTCCACATTCTATCTTCCCACATTTTTGCTTTGCATATGATCAATGTTGTATCACTTGCAGATACTTAAGACAATATTCGAAAATTTATCCTTCTCTTTTTTATTTCCATAGCACACATATTGTTTAACAATATGTGTGAGTTTTGGTATTTCTTAATTTTTTATTTAGTACTACAAAGTTAAATACTACTACCACAGAAGTCGCTCAAGAAGATGATCGACCTCGAGGACGATCATCTTCGAATTCAAATCTTGCAAGAGCAACAACACCATCGTAAGTATTGATTTATTATCGATTAAATAAAGTTTTGATGATAAGATTCTTTATTGTATTTAAAGGAAAAGTTCAGAAGGCAAAGAAAAAGCAGGTAGTACTGCTGCTGCTAGCCGTACTTCAAAAACAGTTAAAGGATCAACCAAAGAAAAAGAAAGCAAAGCGTAAGCTTTTTTCATCTTTATTTTTTTCTATTTAATATTGTATATTTAATCTATAGTACAGTAAATCAAACGAGGTATGATAATAATATTAAAATCGAAAGTATATTTGCTTTAATTAACTGTAATATAAATATCTTTCCTCACACTTTCACTAACATATTTTTGTGTTATGTATCATATATTCATTTATATAGATATGTATTTTATTTTTAGTAAAACAAAAAAAGAAAAACCAACTGATAAAAAAGCTGCGGCTGAAGATAAAAAGAATGCTGAAGTTGATTCATCCGTAACAAGTGGTACTGATTCGGTAGGAAAATCATTTCTTTGAAATTCTATATAGACTTTTTAATCTATTTATTTTTTATAATGCAGAAAGTAGGTTATCAACCAACATCTGATCAAGATTTTCTAATATATCTCGATGAAATTCGTCCACAAATAACAAAAAAACCACTAGCAGAACAAATACCTATATTAGCAAAGTAAATATAAAATTATTTTTCTTATATTTATAACTTAAATTGTTTATAATAAAGATTTGTAAGTGACAAAATGGGTGGTACAATTGCACCTGATGATGTAACTACATTTGGATATGAAGTCGCAATGATTCAATTAAAAGCTGAGATTCATTCAAATATTGTACCTATTGGTCGAATACGAAAAGGTATTTATGCACAACGAGCATTTTTATTCAAGGTAAATAAACGCAAAAGAAAAAATGAAAATAATTGAAAAACAAAAATTTTATATTATAGACATTAGCTGATCGACTTGGAATATCATGTACATTAGCACGAGGAAATTATAATCGTGCTTGGAATGAAGTTCTTCTTGGAGAATCATCTGCAGTATGTTACTAAACTATTTATTTTATATCTATTAAAATCATAGGATAAAAATTCTAATAAATCAATTGAAGAAATACATGAATCATTAAGAAAACTAGAAAATATATATTTAAAATCTGATCATCTAGTTGTAATAAATAATAGAGTAATTATTCTTGTAATCATCGTTTATTTATTTTTATAGATAGAGAAGCCTATTGAATTTGTATGTTTATTCGAATTTTGCTAATTATTTTTCTTTTATTATTAAATATATATTTATAATTATTTGAATATTGTTTTTAGGGTGTTCGATATCCAGCTAAAACATGGATTGTTGATTTACTTCATGAACCTGGTCGATTAATTCATGCAAATTCTTCTGATGCTCGTACTTATACCACACTCTCTTGAAAATGACTGAAAAAAATATTGTAATATTTCCGGTGGATATCATACTTTGAATCTACCAAAATTTTTCTTTTTTTTTTCTTTTTACTTGCTCATAAATATCTTATCGATTTCGAATTAATACGACTATCGAAAAAATACAGTGATTTAAATGAGCATAATAGGTCGTATTATATTATATGGAAACTAAATAAACAATTTTTATTTTAAACTATCATATATATTGCTATTTATAGTGTTAACGATGTTTTTTCTTTATTACATCGAACTTACTAGAACAAATTAAATGACAGACGGACATAATTGTAGTGGTGAATATTCTTTTACATTGTAATCGATAGTGATATTTCTCATGGGATCTTTCAATAATATTCGTTGTAGGATGAAGCAGCTTGTTGTTAGTATCAATTAAGTTTTTTTTTTCTTTTTTTTTGTGATCAGTTAAGAAATGCGGAATGATTTTATCATTTATTCTATTTATTTCTTTAAAAGACAAAGAGGCACCATGAAAATTGTACTTGTCCTTCTGATACTTTGTTTTTGCGTCAATTTAATAACAGCTTTTTCATGGTTCAATTTTGGATCGGACGATGAACCAAAACCAGTAACTAAATCAGTGAAGAATTATCATTCAAATGTTAACAGTGAAAAAATTAAATTTTATCAACAGAATCAATCAAGAAATAATGTTAGTTCGAAGAATAATACAAATCGTTCACCTTTACAACAAGCTCTAATGCAACGACAGTATCTTAATCGCAATATTACTAATAATACACAAACTGGTCAAATCATTTATCCATATGGTTCTAGAGGAAATATATATCAACAACAAAATCGATCTCTTAATAATTCTATGATGTTTCGGCAAGGTAATCGTATTATGAATAAGACAAATAATCGAATTATCAATCCAAAATTTCGTTCTTATATTCAAGGTGGTAAAAGTAATAATACCATTGCCAATAATGGTAGTCGCCGTATTCTTTTACAAGATTCATTAGTAAAATCTGTTACCAACAATTCATCAATACCTACAAATAAGACTCAAATATTTCGAGCTCGTTCAACAGGAATAGTTAGTAACCATACTAATCTAAGTCAACGACGTATTCCCGCTAGATTTAATCAACAACAACGATTGAAAAGCTTCAATAGTACAACATCTGTTCGTTCAAATGTGAAATCAGGTTTGAAACAACAAAATGAACAGAAGAATATTTCATCAAGAGTATTGAATTCAAATGCTTCCGTACGCAATTTACCATTAACAATGAAAAATACTACATCACATCACTGACAAAACTAGGAGTTTTTTTCAGTAAAGATCTTCAGTTCAATTCATAGACACTATCTAACCCTAACATAAGAATATTTCATTTTCTGTTGCATCTTTCATTCTTAATAAATAATTCTAGTAAAATAATTCACTCAATCATTTAAAAAATATGTGACATTTTACATCGACCTTGAAAATTCGTATAACAGTGATTCATATTTATGATTTCATTGGTGACAGTTGCTCTAAGATTTTTGGCTTGAGAATACTATATATAGATATACTTTTTTTTTATTAATGCGACGCGAAGAAAAGCAAACTGCAACTGATAATATGAGTAGTGGCACTAGGTATTCATATAAGCTAACTACCTTTATATCTTGAGGATGTGGCTGGATGTGAATAATTAGAATATAACTAAGTTATGATTTATTTTAATAATTGATCATCATATGTTCTCCGTTTGTAAATATCGCTAGCTTAAAGCTCAACATAAACATAATCTCACAATAAAATACAAATGTATTTCATACAACGCTTATATCAATAACTTGATAAAAAAATTAATTTGAATTCTACTGTCATATATAGTGAAGAGAATGGTTGTTCATAAATAAATTGCATTCTCTTTATTGCTTTCACCTAAGCAGAAAAGTTGGTCACAAATTATAAACAGTTAAGTTCTTTATGCAAGTGTTTCATAAGATAATATGTGATAGTTTTCAGAAATAAATTTTAGGCGAATATATGCTGCTTCTAAAAGATAACACAAACATATTGATTATTAAAAAAATGAACTTTGATTCAATATAAAATATCAAAATGTACACAATCAACTAGTTTTCTCTATTTTATTGATGTCTTCAAAATAGATAGATAGAAGTATTATAATTTCTTTTTATATTTTTTTTTGAAAGTAAATAAAACTGATGAGAAAGAAAATGTGTCTGTTGAAACTCTGTTCTCGTTAAGAACACAATATGAGCAGCAACACTCACCAGTAAGGTAAATAATACATATTGAAAAGATATGTATTATAGAAAAGACCTTCACGGTTACATTATTATGTCTGAACAAGTAAAGTTTCTTTGTGTTAGATAAAAAAGAAAGACACGCAACAGAGACATTCTTTTATAAATGTGCGCTGTCAGGTAATAATGTCATAGAATATTGTTCTCTGTTAGGGAAAGAGTCTCTTTTATCGTTCAAAACAAATGGGATGTGCGTGTAGTTGTCTTAAGAAGACTCTGTTAAGACTATTTTCTGTATCAACAATATATACAAACTGAAGTGTTTAATTGAATATATTTATTAGTGATAAATGACATACAGTGTAAGCAATTGTAAAATGTGATCAAAGTGGCAAACTAATCACTTGATGGTTAATAGTCAGCACTTCTCATAAGTGTCCACTATTACTGAATCTGAGGAAGATGGATGTAACTGTGACTGTAGGTGTAGATACTGATATGAGTCTTCATACTCACATCCCAATCACATCTTCATCTATGTACTCACTACTATTTTCGTCAAAAGATAGGATCAGTTTGCTTTCCATCGATTCAAGCAAAAAACCAATACAAGAAGCTGAAAGTATAAACATTAATGAGTTTAAGTGAAAGATTGATAATAGGAAAAGTTTTATAAAAAGTTTTGGTATCGAATGAACAGTGTTATTCGCTTCATATTGTCAAGTGGTTAATCATAGGATAATGCTATTAGTAGAGTAAGGAAATGTCAATAAGGATGTTGAGTATGATGAAGCAATAAATTCTAACACTGTTGCAGAATACTGACCGTATTGTCATTATAATTTGCAACGACAATGTCGGGTTTATTGTCACTGTTCACATCGGCTACTGCTACTGATCGTGGACCTGAGCCAACTGCGTAAGTAGTTCGAGGAGAAAAAGTGCCATTGCCTCTGCTGACAAGAATACTGGCGGATTTTGCATTCACATGTACAATGACAATATCGGATCTGCTGTCGTTGTTCACATCCCCTACTGCTACTGCATATGGATTTGCAGGAACTGCGTAAGTAATTTTAGGAGAAAAAGTACCGTTGCCTGCGTTGAGAAGAATACTGACGCTGCCTGGATTCCAATCTGCAGTGACAATATCGGATTTATTGTCGTTGTTCACATCGACTACAGCTACTGCCACTGGATCTGCACCGACTGAGTAAGTAACTTGACGAGAAAAAGTGCCATTGCCTGTATTGATAAGAACATTGATGGTCTTTGAACCACTATGTGCAGTAACAATATCCGATTGATTGTCACCGTTCATATCAGCTACTGCTACTGATCGTGGACCTGAGCCAACTGCGTAAGTAGTTCGAGGAGAAAAAGTACCGTTGCCTGTATTGAGAAGAACACTGCTGCTGTTTGAATCACTATTTGCAGTAACAATATCGGGTTTATTGTCGTTGTTCACATCGGCTACTGCTACTGACGCTGGCTGTACACCAACTGAGTAAGCAGTTTGAGGAGAAAAAGTGCCATTGCCTGTGTTGAGAAGAACACTGATGGTGTTTGAACCACTATTTGCAGTAACAATATCCAGTTGATTGTCGCTGTTTACATCGGCTACTGCTACCGCAAATGGCTGTAAACCAACTGCGTAAATAGTTCGATTAAAAAATGTACTATTACAAGCTGCTAAACAAGAAAACAAAAGATTTAGATTACAGTTTCTTTCATTAAAAAACATTATTTCATCGTCTTATTCTATTTAACCTATAACAGTTCATCTCAAAACAAAGTAAATCCATCAACCAATAAAACCATTCCACTATGTTTATGTTTATGAATAATTGTGATATTCTACAATCCCACTACTTACATCGTTTTTCCAATTCTATTTATCGTCATCCACGACGTTTTAACCCTCGAGCGCTGTTCTCATTTTTGTGCACGAACGACGTCATGTGGGTCCAACAGGACCTACATTCAATTGCGCTAGAGTAGTCTTGAGGGTGCGTGTGGGTATGGGTGTGAAATACAGAAAAGTCACTCACACCTACATCCCACATCTACACCCACTCTCTTCTTTTTATAGTTGAATTATTAGTCATTCTTTTTATCTGAAAGAAAACTAAAACTACTGAACTTTCTATACTCAAAGAGTGTTAAAAGTTTCAGGTATAGTTTATTTCCACGAAAACAAATTGAAGATAATTATCGGGATACAAAACAATTATAAAATAAATTCTATGTAAGGATATAAACCTTCGAGGTAGCAGAGGGCAGATTGAACAAGAAACAAAATCACATATATAACACCAAAGATGTCACGGGGTCCGTGTGGACCCACTTCTTAATTTTCCCCTGTATAGGGCATCGGAGAAATTTCATATGGCCTTCGTGTATTGTTAGAAGAATAACGATTAGAGAAGAGATCGATCAGAAAACAATATGTATTAACGTAGCTAAAAACAAAAAACAGCGTTGTGGGTCCGATTGGACCCCAAACAGCGCTCAAGGGTTAATCTATTTCAGCATTAGCACAGTTATTAATCTCGAATTCAGTTAATATATTTGTCTCTACTTCATTCGTTTTTTCATATAATATCATTCTTTACAATGTCTTTTTCAATACAAAATTAATTTTGTGACATATTAAACAAATTCTGACGGATACATATTCAGATGAACTAACACTTTGCAACAGTCACCAAATTATGTCTTCACTAAACATAACTAATAAACTGAATAAATTTAATATTTCGTGGACCTATCACTAGTTACTTTCGCTTCGGGCTGAGTTTTCCCTCAAAAAATTTTATATTTCATTCTACACAAAACTCTACACGAATCTATTTCATAAAGGTAAAAGTAAATAATATTGTTTCAGCAATACTACAAATATGATACGAGTAACTTTCAAAATAATATCCAAAACGAAATGTTGTCTGAAAGTAACTTATCATCCATCTAAGATATTCAGCAAATAAAAAACAAGAACTTCGAAGAGCATAGTTTCTTAAACTGAACAAGAAGTGATCGATTAGCAACTAACAAAAGGTACTATGATTCGTGTGGAATATTACTGACCGAATGATGTTGTTGATGAGGATGTGGTTGTTGATGTTGTCGATGATGTTGAAGTTGTTGAAGTTGTTGTGGATAATATAGTGGATGTTGTTGGTGTTGATGATGTTGAAGTTGTTGTTGTTGATGTTGTCGAAGCTGTTGAAGTTGCTGTGGATAATGTAGTGGATGTTCTTGATGTTGATGATGATGATGATGATGATGGTGTTGATGTCGCTATTGTTGTTGTTATTGTTATTGTTGATGGCGTTGTTGTCGGTAATGTAGTTGATGATGACGATGATTTTGTTGTTGTTGACATTTCTGTTTCTATTATTGTTGCTGTTTGTGTTATAGATTTTTTTGTTGTCGTTGAGGATGTATCTCCATTCTTCTCTCTGTTTGGCATAATTACATTTAGAGGTGTAAGCCGTGCGGCTTAGCCGCCGTCGCCGCCGATGAACTACAAAAATTTAAAGCCGCCGCCAGCCGTGCCTGCATATGTTTTTAAAAATTAAGCCGCCGCGCCGCTGAGGCACTTCAGTTATAGCCGCCGCGCCGCCGATGGCATTCAAAATTTTAAAATTTTCGAGCCGCCGCCAGCCGACGCTTAAGATTTTATTTATTTTTTGCACATTTTTGATGAACTTTTATATTTTTATTTATTGTTCAGCTTTATATTAGCTATGTACTTCATTATATTGAGATGTAAAATGAAGATTCTACAAATGTTTATTTTAAAATATAAAGGATTGGATAATGACATGGACAAGTTTTATTTTCTCGTAATAATATAACAGTTTTTTAAACTTCAAGCCGCCGCGCCGCCGAAGCACTTTCGTTACAGCCGCTGCGCCGCCGATGGCATTCGAAATTTTAAAATTTTCGAGCCGCCGCCAGTTGGCAACCTTAGAATTTCACAGCCGCGCCGCCGAACATTTTAAAAAAAATTTTAAAACTTGGCGCCGCCGCCGATGACCCTACCGGCTTACACCTCTAATTACATTATCAAAAGATGCCTGATTTATTTGATCTTCTGTTATTTTAGCTCCTGATAAATCACTGTTTGAAAAGTGTGCACCTGTCAGATTCGAGTTTCCAAAATCTGCTCCCGACAGATTTACACCATTAAAACTAGCACAGAGTAAAGATGAACCGTCAAACTTTACATTATCTAATCTGCCTCCATCAAATGATACTCCATTTAAACTAGCGAATGAAAATACTGCATCTGACATCGATACTTGATCAAAAGAAACACATTCTAAATCCAATTGGTTTAATACACCTGTTTGACTTGCTAGATGTACATTATCAAAACTTAATTCATTCAAACGGATTATATCATCTAAATTTGTTGTTCGACATCCATTTGTACAATTATTTCTACCAATTAGTTGTTTTTCTTTCAGAAATTGTAAAACATATGCTTTATGTATAGTATCCCATTCGAGATGAGCAGCACGATAATATGCATTTGCAAATGCCCATGGATTTTTTTTCTCTTTCAGATAACCATAATTATCCAATTTAAAAATATTATTTATAAATTCATCATAAAGTGTTTGTTGTCTTAATTTTTCAGCTTGTTCCAAATCAAACTGTCGTGTTTTTTCCGCTTCTCGTTTTTGCTGTTGAGATCCAATTGCAGTATAAATAGCAAGAGCTATGGGTATAGCAGCTGAACATAGAATAGTTAATATGTCTTTAAATGTAAAATGCCAAAACACTCGTTTGTTAGTATCTACCATTGTCTCAATGTGATTGCAGAATGAATACAGTAAAATATTGTAGTGTGCTCGAATATAAAGAAAACACAAATACTGCTAATAACTAATATTTCTCTCTTTTTCCATTTCTCTTTTATTTAACAACATATTAAATAACAGTTTTAATTATATTTTCTAAATCAAATGTTACCACGAAAAAAAAAGAAATAAATAGGTAAATATTCATTACGAAGACAACGATAATTAGAAAAATAGTTTCTTGTTACTTTCAGTTTACTGAACATTAAATTTAATCTTGCATAACAAAAATATATAAATACCAGTAAATGAAGAAAACGTATACTATTGATTTAAACATCTGAAACTTCTTTGTACGTCTACATACGATACAAAATCGTAGAACTTAATTAATTCTCCGGAACGACGAAGAATATATTTTGATAATAACTAGAAAGTATTCTCATCATATCCATTACAAAGTTCTAGAAAAAAAAAAGAAAAGGGATATTCTAGGCTTGATGAACCGTTGTTTTAGTCAGATGATATCTTCGATATAAACAGTTCTGAATAATTTTTTTTCTTCCCGACTTTTTTTAATGAAACGGATAAAATAGATATTTGAGATACACATATGTGACTATTCGACAAGTTTGATGTATATCTCTAAGAAAGAGCCTCAGTTAGAGACGACGGTTCGTTTTTCTAAATTATCGAAAGTTGAAGCTTTGCATCACATTCCGCAATTGACTGAAAGTCACATGCTATCTAGTTGCTATTGATTTAACTAAAAGTCGTCATTGTCGTTCATTATTCGAAAGATAATCAATATATGTTTGTAGTTGATTGGGCTAAATAAATGCACAAAAGAATTTATGTTGTTTCTTTAAAAATATTTACTCGAATGATGATGCAATCCATAAGAATCAAGCGTTCTATTATAAACTTTTAAATAATTTTTATTTTGATTCTATTAAATTTTCGTCTCTTTACTAATAAACTATAGTACACATAGAAAACTTTTATTAAAATCAAATCGAAGTTTTTACTTTGTAATAAATAGAATTAGCTTTACAGTTTTTTTAATTATTATCTGTCATTGAAAGTATGGTTTCATTTGTATATGTAGATCATCATGATTGTATACGAAAATGACTATTTTTTAATTTTGAAAATGTTTTAATAAATAAATTAGCTTTTAATATTAAAACTTGAACATTATGCTAAACAATTCTAATTGCTACTCATTCGAAGAGTTTTCAATCAAAACTCATATTTTTTTATTCAACAGTGGTATGTCAATAGATGTCTCTAATTATTTGAAAGAATTAATATATTTCACTGGTGGTTGCTAAGAAAACGAGATCGAATAACAAGCAAAGAAAAATGGTATCGAACTGTTTTTGATTTATATTACCCTGACTTTCCTTTTTCTAGAATGTACGTATATATTATTGCTTAAGAGGTTTTTCTTATTAACCTTTCTTTTCTAGAAATTTTATTTACAAAAAACAAAACTCTTTTGCGCAGAAGTATGAGACGTAAAATTATTTATGACGAAAAACATATGCGAGACAGTTTAGAAAAAAAAGGATATTTTTTCATCTATTTAATTATCAAATAATTTAGAATAAAACAAATAATATGAATTGTATTAGTGAACTTTCAATCTTTGTTTTTATCTTAAAATGTTAAGTAAAGAAAAAACAAAGACAC